TAAAGCCATTGAAGCATTTGGCTGATGATCCAAACAACCATAAGTCCTAATCTTTTTTTATGGTTCGGGGAACTCTTATGCTAGCAAGGTGGCTTAAAGGTCTAAATCAAAAGTTTCTTCATTTTCATAGTTTAAAAAATCATCTATACAACCATCACATGAGAATGTTGCTATAGATACTATGTGATTTATCAAATAATATTCTCATATCAGGTCATGTTTAGTAAAATTGTTCTTATGACATCCCAATCTTATATTGAGATGTCTGAGGATCTATTATGGTATATAAGTTGAGATTTAAATCCAAACTTATAAGGTTCTTTTTGTGAGATAAAATTATGAAACCTTCGGATCAAAGCAAATAATATCTTGTAAGTTGGATACAATTCTCCATTAATGGTATCAAAGCAGTTATCAGTTGAATGAAAGTTAAATGCTACACCGTGAGAACCACCTTTAAAATCCTGAGGGAGTTAAGAGTTACATGATGGAAGTTTCTTCTAAAATCTTAATGTTTGGTGTGATCTTGGTTCTATGGTTCTATGTGTACGATTTTGTGGTTTTGTGTGTACTTTATGTTAAGTTTGACAAGCAAGTCAAGCTTTAACGAGTGGAATTCGTGATATCCTAATCCTACATCAAAATGTTGTGAGAATCTGCTATGATATAAAGGTTGAGACTTAAACCTAAACTTATGAGGTATCATTTGTGAGATAAAACTGTAAGACTTTCGAGTCAAAGTAGACAATATCTTATAGGTTGGGTATGAGTCTTTATAGTTCTTACAACAAGCACTCACTTATTAATGCAAGTTTATCCCAACTTTAACATATGAGATCGATTGTTTACTTCATAAATAATAGTATAACTATGTACCAATCTCAACAACTTTTGTTAATGTCCTTTTTTGATAAATCATTGACTAAGAATATTTTAAAAATATAACTTTTATACAATAATGATCTCATAATTATAATTCTATTGTAATTCCTTTATAGAGCTTTATTTATTCCAATGACTTTATCATTTAAGTACTAATAATATCATTGTAAAAACTTAATGATAAATCAAAACCTTAGTATTATCATTGTACATTCTTGGACAAAGAGAAACTGAATGGAACACGAAAGAGCAATTTTAATATTTTGGTGAAATTATTTGGTAAAATTGTAGTCAATAAGTTGAACATATATGCTTAAATAGGAATAGGTATGATTAAACCACTTGAAGGTCAATTCGTAAAAATAACATATCACATTTGAAATAATATATGATATTAGCTACCCTTTAATATAATTTTTAGAGATTTTATATAAATTCTAGATAAAAGTTATTAATAATTTTAATCTGACTATTTTTATTTTTATATAGGATTGCATTTTGGACCATATATAGAACTCATATAAAAACATGTATTTCACATTCCAAACCAATATCTTACATTGATAGAAAAGGTGAACCAACACAAAATATTATGATAGGTTGTGTCTTTAAATGATTGTTTTTTGGGACCAATAAAGGTTTTTTGGGACCAATAAAGGTAATCGTCAGGCATGAAGAAGAAAAGAAATTTTAATCATGCAAACTCTTCATTGTAGTCTCTAATTGAATAAACATTTTGAATGTGAAAGAAAAAATTACCTTATTCTAAATTACTTATTTTAGAAGCAATTTTTAATTGTTAATACAACTATGATTTTGCATAACTACACTCAAGACATGTTGGAGCCAATGATGAAGATTCAGAGAGCTTTTCTATTAAAAATCTTAAAATTTTTAAGAAATTTGAAATTAAACCATCTTAAATACATCATTTCTAAATGATATTAAAAATATTATTTTATTTGAATCAATATTTCTTAAAAGAAAATATACGTTATTGAAATTTTATGAGATAAAAAATAATTATAAAAGAGAATGATGATATTAAAAATAAAATATACAAACATACACACACACACACACACACACACACACACACACATATATATATATATATATATATGTAATATGGGCATAATTTGATTTGTAAAAATGTATAAACAAATATTATCAATAATATAAAAAATAAAAATATATCCTAGAGTTAAATAAAATGATACTTTGTTTCTTGAGTTTTATATTTTATAATTAAATTATAACATGTGTGATGCATGAAATAATTTTATTTATTTAATATGAGAATATATATATATATATATATTCAAATTAGTTTCTTTTCAAAATTATATATAAATTTTTAAAACTCATAACATGTATAAAATTTGTATACATAGACTTGTCATTAAAAAATAATTTTTTTATAAGCAACAAAAGAAATTATGTCCTTTTTTTGGATTTTTTGTTTACAATAATATTTATACACCTCTAAGATTATATCAAATAAAAATAAATTATGCCTTTCTTAAAAAAAATAAAAATATATATTATTAAATGATAAATTAAATAATAAAAAAATATTAACATACTTTCACTTTAGTAATTTTGACTAAATTATTATGCAAAAAAATGAAAAATGTTAAAAATATGTGAAAAATAAAAATAAATTGAAAAAATATTATTTTTCATAAGAATGAAACTGTAATAACAATAAATATATCTTGGAAAAAAGTTACAAACAAAAAAAAAATTGCAATAATAATAGAATAAACCTTGGAAAAGGTTATTGAAAAAATAAAAAAATAATACATTACATTTGTAGATTTAAATTTGTAGAAAAATTCTTTAGTGGTAATTTGAATTAAATAGATAATTTTTAAATTAATTTTTTAAAATTTAAAATGGATATAATAAGTGATAAAGATAATATTAAATTTTTTACATTTATTTGAAATATAAATTTGATAACTAGAGTTCAAATTAATATAATCGTTTTGATGATCTTATTATTTAAAAATTTAAGATGAAAATTTTTTGAATTTTTAAAATAAAATCTATATTTCATATTTTTAATTTTAAAAAATATATCTCTAAATTGATTTGATTTTGAATCATAATTTGAATAATTTTGATATTGAAATAAATTTAAAATTATCTAATTTGTAATTAAAAAATTATCTTATTCTTTTAAAAAATTATCCTATGTATCATTTAAGAGAATTATTCATATAAACGCTCATGTGATAAATTTATTTATGTATGTTATTATATATATATATATATATATATTAAATGGGTTGCGTTGAGTAAAGTGCAAAGAGATTTGAAGAAATTTTGAAAAATTACATTTTTAGGTGGAATTTTAAAAGGGAATTGGACATGCTCAAATCTCCTATTAAAATTTCTCTTAAATTTTGAAAAAATTTCCCTGCTTTTATACAAACAAGTAGATTCATTTTTGAATTTTTTTTAATTTTTTAAAACCTTTATAGAAATAAAAATCTCCATTGATAGAAATAATTACTCTTTGGATGGCGAATTTTGAAATTTTGAAAAATTTTGGAATGTTAATAATTTAAAATGCATCATTCAAAATAACAGATTTGTAATTGCATTGCTTGGATAATTATTTTTTAGAAAGAAATTTTAAATATTAGAATTTGATGTGATATAAAGTAATTATAATTGATAAATAATGATATGAGGGATAGAAAAAGCAAAATAATAAAAAAATAAATGTGGATTTCTTACGTAAAATTAAAGAGTTTCACAAAGAGGTGAAATTTGAAAAGAGAATTACAGTTTTCCAAAATTTTTTACTTAAATGCGAAGAAATTTGATAATTTTAATTTATTTATTTTGACAAACAAAATAATTTTATTTTAGAACTATAAAAATCTCTCTACAAATAAAATCTCTCCTTAAAATCCCTCTAGAAAATTTTAAAATATGCCTAACATACCAACTTCAACTGGAGGATATTTTGGTTAGGGTGAAGCAAGTTCTAGAAATAGTAGTTAAAGTGACCTTCAAATTGTAATGTGCCGAATTCCAGAGGCTATTTTGATTAAGTTGTATCAAGTTCCAGAAATAATAGTTAAAGTGTCCTTGGAATTGCAATGTTAAGGGAAACTATAGCGGCTAGTCTAATTGAGTCCATGTGCTCAAAAAAAAAACTTTGTACCCTAATCTAATTCCTGAGTCTAATGAGGCTTTATGTGTTTTATAAACTTAATGTGCTCTTCGTATATTACAAAAAGTTATCCATGTAAAAACCCTAAAAAATAACAAATGTAATGTGGTAGCAATAAATACTATAAAATTTAGCACTTAAATAAATTAAGAATTAAATAGAAGTATAAATTCATAAGTTAATCTTTATAAATTTATATGATATAAATATGTATATATACAGATAAATTGTAATTTTATATTTATCAATATTAAAATTAAAAATTATTTACATACATATTTAAAATTTTAGATTAGAAACACGTTTTAATCATTTAACAACGTAAAAATACTAAAAATATTAGTTAGAGTAATAAATTTGTAATTTTTTATAATTATATTTATTTATTTGTATCATATAAATTTTTAAAAATAAATGAAAATTCTTCCAATTATAAAAGAAATTAAAAGAAAATTGTAAGTGGTGATTTTCTTGAAATTCCTACTTGAAAATTTTTCTTAAAATCTTAATAAAAATGTTGAAAAGATTTTGGAAATGCTTCAATAAATAGATTTTTTTATTTATTTTCCATAAATTATTCAGTAAAAAATATAAGCTGATAAAATAAAAAATAAATAATTTTTTTATAAATATTAAATTAATCTGTCGATACATCCCCTCCTAAGAAACAATGAAGTTTCTTGATATTTTACTGAATTTCCAATCGCATATGACACAAATGATATTACCAAGCGCACGTGACATGCTTTTTTGAAGCAAAGTTTCTGTCTCTGCCCGCGCCTCGATTTATAAACGAAGCAAAATATCAGAAATTAGAGCCCTAATGCAACTACGTTTCTCTGTTGTTTTTCAAAATCCTAAAATCTCTGCTTTTATCGATCAAATCCCCTCACCCACCAAAACATTGCTCGAAAGTTCTTCAATCTCAATGGCTTTCCTAGTTAACAACAATCAAGTCAGAATAAAAACTGAAACCAACGTGTTGGACAACATAATCCAACAGAGTCCAAGTCAACTACCCCCCATTGATATCAGCAGCGGTAGCAGCAGTTCTAGTATATGCAGTAGCGATTCTTCTGATATCCACGACTCGTTATTAAGTCTTCTCCAATCCAATGTGGGTCAAAACAAACGAAATTCTGATGAGTCTGGCGGTTCTTGTTTAACCAAGAAAACGAAAATCGAGAATTCTGGTTTTGAGTTGCCCTTAGGATTTCTGGCTCCGCTTCCACCAGAGGACGGGCAAGAGCCATTGTCTGTACGAGTCCCGGAGACGGGACCTTTATCTGTGACGGAAGCGATTGTGGTTTCGAATAGGTTTGCGGTGCCAGTTGTTGAAAACCGTAAACTAACTTGCAAGCAGTTTTGGAAAGCAGGAGATTATGAAGGAGGCAATGCATGCGATTCTGCCATGTCTTCGGGTGGTTAATGCCTGCTTTTTCTTTTAGTGTTTTTGTTTTAAGTTTTTTTGTCCTGTATTTTTAATTTGTTTTTGGCAATCGACTTTTTAATCTAAATGTTGTCCCTTTTACTGTTTACTTTTAGAGTTTTTTTTTTTTTTCTTTTTCTTTAATGGTATTATGATCGCTAAAGTAATTTACCTAATCAAATATTCATTGATCTTTAAATGTATATTTTGCAGTTGGCATGGACCATGTCAGGGTCCATCCCAAGTTTCTACATTCAAATGCAACCAGCCATAAATGGGCTCTTGGAGGTACACATTAGTTTTTGGATGTTCTGAATAATGAAAATATTTTTTTCCTATTCGATGATTATGTTTTAAAAAATAACTTTTTACTCTTTGTACAGCCTTTGCTGAGCTTTTGGACAATGCAGTAGATGAGGTATTTGCAGGCTTTTTATTTATTTATTTATTTGAACCGGAATTGGAAAATCCCCTTTTGCTTGTATTCATATTTTCTGACTAGATATTGTTGGTCAGGCTTGCAATGGAGCTACATATGTTTGCATAGATATGTTGAAAAATAAAAAGGATGACAGTAGGATGTTGCTAGTTGAAGGTAATTGGCAGTATATGCATTTATCAATTTCTTTAGCATCAATTTCTATAATGAATATTTAATCAAAATGTGTGTAAAAATAAAAAAACAGAATATATACAACTCGGAAATCAGTTAGAACATTGAGATAAGAAATTTGTTGCTGTTTTGTAAGTGAATTGTAGGATAATCAATATAATTCAGGTGCCCGATTGATTCTTATATGTGATTGTTATCTTCTCATTGTAGATAATGGAGGAGGAATGAATCCCGATAAAATGCGGCAATGCATGTCTCTTGGATATTCTTCAAAAGGCAAAATGGCAAATACCATTGGTCAATGTAAGCTGGTCTTCATTTGTCTAACACAAGGATATAACAAGAATTACTACATAATTCAATATTTTTCATAAAAAAAAAAAATTAAGTGTGTATGTATTTTACAAGCCTTTCCATTGAAGAGCGAATTCCGTTAATTATTTCTTTTTTATTTATGTTTTACTAAATTTCAGTTGGAAATGGTTTTAAGACAAGTACTCTGAGGCTTGGAGCAGATGTTATTGTTTTTTCTCAAAGTCGAGGGACAGACGGAAAAAGGTTGGCTCAATTATCAAAGTGCAAACTTTGGTTATTTTCAGTCTTTATGAAAAACAACATAAGAACACAAACAAAATTCGATACCTTCTGTTTTTACTTTTCTTTTTTGAAATCTTATTCGTGTGCAGGTTAGAGTCTGTTATAACTCCAAAAGCTAAACTTGCTCAATTATTTCCTTTTGTCTTAGCCCAACGAGGACTATTGGAATGCTTTCCTACACATTTTTGACAGAAACTGGAAAGGAGGACATTGTGGTTCCAATAGTAAGAGGACTTTAAGTTATTTATGCATATGTATACATATATATATATTTATTTGTTCAATTGTGGTTGTGATGTACGATAGCTGTTTGTACATAAGATTTCAGACAAAATTTGTGGTTAAATATGTAAAAACAAGGGAGGGTTCAGTACATAAGACGTTTCCCAAATGTTAAGAAGATAAAAACTATCAGGCATGTAGCTTTCCTGGTAGTCCAAATTCTTGATGGCATAAGTGCCATTTCTGTTCTTTAATTAAAAAGAAAAAGGAAAAAAAAAACAAACTGATGTTTTTTTATGTATATATTTCCCTATGGAAGTTAAATAATAGTGAGAGAGAATATGGAGAAAATATTTATATATATTATATATATTTTACTCATCTCCCTCTCTGACTCTGGCAGTGTCTTGTTGATGTCTGTAAAACAGTTTCTTGACAATGTCTTCCCATATTTTGCTCATACCTCTCAAAAGATTATGCCTTCTAACTTTCTTTCTTTTGAATTGAAAAGATTGATTATGAGCAAAGACGACAGGATTGGACCAAGATGACACGTTCTTTTGAGGATGATTGGAACAGAAATTTAGAGACTATATTCCAGTGGTCGCCATACATGTCTGAAACTGATCTACTTGAGCAAGTAAGTTTTGTTATTCATATATTCATTCTTATTTGATATTGAAGTTAACATTTTGATGGAAATAAAAGAACCCTTCTAATTGGTGTCTTGTTATTTTCTGTTCCAATTTAGTTCAATTTTCTTAAAGATCACGGTACACGCATAATAATTTACAATCTTTGGGAGGACGATGAAGGAAAGGTGGAGCTAGATTTTGACACTGATGAACATGTACGTACTGTCTCCAACACCTAATATATCACTATTCTTATTTTCTATGAATTTCAAGAACTGAAAGATGTTGGACACATCTTCCAATAAATTTCAATTACTTCTGAAGTTTGGAATGGCAGGATATTCAAATTAGAGGAGTCAACCGAAATGAAAAGAACATAGCAATGGCAAAAACATTTCACAACTCCAGGCACTTCTTAACTTATCGACATTCATTAAGGGTAAGCCTTTGAGAATTTTGGCAATTGGCATGTTCTCATATTTTGTCTGGTGTGTTGGTGCATAAAGCTCTTTTCCCTGCAAGTTCTTTTTATTATTATTACCATTACTAATTCATAATGACTTCATTGATATTTGCTTTGTCAGCTGACTCAATCCTTCTATATGACAGTGATTATTCTAGAAATTAGACAATCCTGCTAGTGGTGCATAAACATTCTTGAATTCTTATACTGCTTTATTCTATTTTTCTTGCATTAATTCAGTGTCGGTATTCCTTTTGCTCTTAAACCTCTATTATTTAATCCTAACAATAAATAGATCATCTTTCTGTCCATGACATTGTTTGCATGAACCTTTAGAAGAATGCTTGTTTAAGGGATTTCATTGATGGCAATTGTTTCTTACAAGCGTACCTGATAATTCGAGCCCCTGACTCAGCCCAGCATAGAGAGGCCAAGATTCTAACTTTGTGGAAATTTCAAATCTTACTTTATACTACAATTAATGCATCTATTTATCATACTAAATTGTTACTATTGTCTTATCAGGAACTGCAAATATTTCTTGCTGAGTTTCTTACCATGGGTGGTTAATCATCTGTTTTTCCTTTCATTCTTGGTAGAGTTATGCATCGATTCTCTACCTTAGGCTTCCAATCAACTTCAGAATGATTCTGCGTGGTAAAGATATTGAACATCATAACATTGTCAATGACATGATGCTAACTACAAAGATAACATACAGGCCTCAGATTGCTGCTGGAAAAGCACCTAGTAGTTCAGATGTACTATGGCTATGAGGCTTAACCTCTGATTTGAATTGTTCATTTATTCCTTCCTTTAGACTCTTTGAAACTGACCAATTTTTTTGGACTTTCGTAACAGATGGTTGCAACTGTGACAATTGGGTTTGTGAAGGATGCACGATACCATATTGATATTCAAGGATTTAATGTGTATCACAAGAACCGACTTATCAAAGTTAGAATTTTATTTTATTTTTCTCTTTTTTAATTAGGCAAAAGAATCCAAAATCATTGGTGAGACGCTAATGGACTTTAACCTTTTTATTTTCCGTTCATGCATGGAAAAATAACTCCTTCATCAGCCATTCTGGAGAGTGTGGAATGCAGCTGGAAGTAGTGGCCGGGGAGTGCTTGGTACTTTTTTTTTTCTCTTTAATGTCGAATAATTATTTATACTCGACTTTTTCTTTCACATTTTAATCTCTTTCTTTTTATGCAGATAATTTGATAATTTGATTGGTAACTCTTTTTCCTTTTGATATTTTGCAATAGGTGTGTTGGAGGCCAACTTTGTCGAACCAGCTCATGACAAACAGGGTTTTGAGCACACTATTGTGCTCTCAAGACTAGAGGCAAAACTAGTTGTAATTCAGAAGGACTACTGGTTTGTACTTCCCATTACATGTGTGTGTGTGTGTGTGTGTGTGTAGAGAGAGAGAGAGAGTATATATAATATATATATAGAGAGAGAGAGAGAGTATATATATATATATATAGAGAGAGAGAGAGAGAGAGAGAATCGCTTACGCCAAAGGCAAAACTAGTTGTAGTTTAGTTTTACATCCATTCATATAATTTTATGCGATTTATATTTTTTAAACCAGTAGTTGAATTTTATGCTCTATTCATGTAGATTATGCATAGCAAATTTCAAGTTAATTGATATTATATATCTAACTATTTGTTTGATGATAATGAAATTTCAGTTGTTAATATATATTAATATGTGTGTGTGGCGGCTTTGTTGTTATTCATCTCTTAACTTTCTCTTGCTTTTCTATGTTAGGTTTAAAAATTGCCATGAAGTTGGTTACGCAGCCAGGAGGCCTACAAAGAACTCTGTCTCTGAAGACCCAAGTGTCGTTTCATGTGTTAAAGAGAAGTCTTCTTTACATCCAACTCAGGATGAGCAGGACTCCACAAGCAAGGGCTCGACTATGAAATCCGGTTCTAAAGAGAAATCTAATTCATTCCCCAACCAAAATGGACATGGTACCCCTAGCCGTAAGGAGAAGTCTTCTTCACATTCAAATAAAAATCAGCAACTTTCTGTTAGAGGAAGTACCAGAATTCAATCTGATAAAAAGTTTGAATATAAGTCACTAGTAGATGAAGCAAATCAAGACGGAAGCTGTTTTAGAGCATCACCTTCAAATGGTGAATCTCGACAATATCCCATTTCAAAAACAATACCACGATTATCACATTTGAAGGTAAATTGTTAGTTATGCGTTTTTATTTGGTTGTTTATAGTCTTTCCATCGTAAACAATGTTGGTAGTTATGTAGGAAGTATTATCTGCTTGTATGATCAGGCAAGTTTACTCCATGTTTTAACAGCGAAACGATATATAAATTATGTCTAACGAACTTTGGCCAAAAAAAAAATTGTGCATAATGATCACTGTCTATATATAATCCATGTAACTCTATTCTCCCTTATGCCCTTCCAATAGGACTGTTTTTCCTTAAATTTGATTTGATAGGTTTTTTTTTTTTTTTTTTTTTTTTTTACCGTTTTGTCTAAATGCCCATTTAGCTCCCTCGACATGCAGGCAACTACGGTCGACAGAGATGGAAAAGTGTCAAATAATTGTGATATGGAGAGTTTAATCAAGTTGAAAGCAGAGAATCATGATTTGAGGGAAAGGTATTACTTAATTTTCCCTTTGATTCTATGCTCATGATTTAAGATTGTGTTTGTCCTGTTTTAACTATTGGAATGTCCTTTTTTTTTTTTTTTTAATGCAGATTAAACAAAGTGAACGGTGATTTACATTTTGAAAGAGATAGACGCAAATTACTTGAATTGCAAGTATGCTTACTGGGAGATTCGCATTTTGAACTTTTTATTTACGATTCTGCGCTTTTGTCTCTAAGGGAGTATGTTTGTCAGCATATTTTTATTTGCTGAATGAAACAGATAACAATAAAGAGTGCAAAAGAATATGATAATCTGATTAATAGTATGTTTGTCAGCATATTTTTATGCAGAGAATTTGATCAGTTTTGAGAGCGTACGTGTTTCATTTGTGCGGGTTACTAATAGAATGTCCTGTCATAACAGATTTTCATCTTGACCTTTTTACTTTGTAAATCAGATTAAGCAAGAGCAACAACGAAGCGAAGAGTTGGACAAAGAGCAGATTGCTCTAATTGTTATGATTTTGGTGGTATAATTTCCATCAACGATTTTCTTTACCTTTTCAAATTTTTTCCCTAACGGACTTTTGAATTTATTATTTAATTTTTGTTTCCCTGTAGGATGCTTCTGTCACCATAGATGAACTGCTTGAGAAGGTGAAGCAGCTCGAAAGCAGGGGAGTTGCATGCATCAAAACAGAACATTGAAAGTACATTAACATGAAACGGCAATTGATACTGTAAAAAATTGGTTTAGGATTTGTCAAATGATGGATTTTCAGTTTAGTATTTTTGAACTAATGTCTAATGCCATGCCAATGTAATGCAAAAAAAAAAAATAATAATAATAATAAATAAATACAAAAACATAAAAACGATTGTTAAACCTAGTCATATATTGGCTAAACATTTATTGAGCAAAAGGAAATTATTGCAAAAACCCTTTTTTTTTTTCCTTCAGGAAAGGAAGCAAATATGCATTTAAAGCTGATTAATGTGTGGAGTCAAAAAACATTAGAGATGTTCACTATTTCATCAGAAAATTTATAATGTCCGTTTAAGTTAATCTATGACTGAAATTTAATGACCTGAGGGGACCAAAAGGCAGAAACCATGCATCATTTTTATTTAAGCTCTCTGAGCTAAATTCCTACAAGCAACCATTCAGTTTTGCAGTGACACGCAGATGAACATGATTTAATGAATAAATTTTTTTTTACTAAATTCGTAATCCAAACGTTATGAACTGAAAAACTGTAATGAAACAGGAAAGAAATCCTCCTTACGTTTTTAGGGTGTGGGTGGAGTATTAAGTGAATGGTTAGGTGCACGCATAGCATACATATTTACATAAAACAATAATGTTATTAAAATTAAGCACGTACATTCTACTTTTCTATACCAATTATATGAAAGGTTTGAAATCATGAATAATAACACACAGTATCAAACATAATTATTTTGGAGTTTAATTGAATTTAGATCATCTTTTTATGGTGTTTGGTTCTGGGGGATGCTCGGAGGGGAAGGGGGAATGTACGGAATCCAGGTTTTGGGGTTTCCCAGATTAAAGGCAGGTGGGGGAGGAGGAGATAGTGTAGGGAAATTAGGAAACCAAGTTCTTGGATCTCCTAGATTAAATGCAGGTGGAGGAGGGGGTGGGGTAATAAGAGATGGGGTTGGAGGAAAAGGGAAAGGCAAAGATGGTGGATTCGGATACGGCAAGCGGGGAAAGGGCCAAGATGGCAAAGGCGGCAGGGGAGGGAATGGGAGTGATGGAAGCGGCGGTAAAGGCATTGATGGAAAAGGCCAAGGGAATCCAAATCTTGGGAAAGGAAAAATGCATTTTGAAGAGTTAAAAGAAGAAGTCGGCGGCAGCCCTTTGTGATTTCTACATAAGGTGGCATTTCTCTTGGATGGCCTGTAACTCAGTGCATTCAAGCTGTAGATGCAGAGATTATCTTGTTTTGACTTGACAGATATCTGATTTGTCGAAGTCTTCAAACCTGGTACATTGCATGCTGCAGATTTGCTCCCTATTAAACTTGCCTGGCATAATGACTCAATAGCCAAACCTTCCACACAGTCAACCCCATCAACGTGCGGGATTTCTAGCTTGTATACTCCATACTTATCAGTACTTCTGTTGACTGACACCGTCATTTGCTCTGTAGTTTTAGGTGATTTTGCTTTAAACTTGCATTGAATGTTGACTTCCACACCTGGTAAAAAAAAACAAAAAACAAAAGGCAACTGAAATATATTACAAAAAAAAAAAAACCAATTTTGTGGCTGAGGCACTGATAATTATTGCACCTGGCAAGAAGTAGCTGCGTCTAGAGAAAGCGTTGGTTGAACAGATATCGCAGAAAACAACACCCACTACTGTGATCCGAGAGATGGGACTTGCTGGTTGAGCTATTGCGGAAAGTAGATGCGTAAAAGAGGATGTTAGAACAAGAAGGCGAATGATTGGATCCATGGCAGCTAGCAAACATGAGAGAAGTGAAAAGAAGCTTCCACTAGGGCTTCTCTAGTGCAAGTAGAGCACGAGAAGCATTTTATTACTATAGCATAAGAAGAAATATGATCAGTACCAAATAATAAGCCCGTGAGTCGTTGGTGTTAGGACCAACAGTGAAGCAAGGAGCTGAAAATGCTTTATCTTTTCACTAAAAACAAAGACATGTGAAGACCCCTATTGGCAGTTTGTGATAAAAAGATGGAAAGACAGAGGTTGCTACTCTGTAGCAGATTGATAATTGACAGGTGGCGGAGATTTGATTTGGAGGTTCTATAATTTCCTCGATAACATCGAAAGCACTAAGGAAAAATTACAAAATGATACTCTCATCTAACAAAAATATTTATTTGTTTGTATCATGATAAAAAATGACTAATAAAAAATTATTAAAAAAATCGTTATTTTTTTTATGATCATGACGTTTGAGGATCACAATTACATTCTTTGTCATATATGTGTTGGCATAATATATGTACATTCAGATTAAAGTATACATACATAAATGTCTTATAATGCATGTACATTAGGAATTATTAAAAAACAGTTTTTTTTTAAATTATGATTAGTAATTCATTTTAAACATAGTTTTATATTTTAAGAAATATAATGTAAACCCTAAACCTAAGCATTTTTTCTAATAGCAAACTAACAAAAAAATTTTCATAAAAATGGATAATAAGATATGAGATGTATATAAATTAAGAATATATGTATATTTATCTGGAAAGATGTGTATAATAAACTTAAAATATTTGTACTTTTATAACTTTCATTGATAAATAAATGAAGTTTTGTGTTTTTGTCGATATAAATTTAATAATAATTAATTATACATATTTTGACATGTTGAAAATAATTACTCAAATTACTTTGAGTATTGTATCTAAGTTAAAGTATGTATCTCAGTTAAATTATTGTTACTTATGTAATTATTTAATTATTTGATTATACTTCTGTTGATTTGATTAGATAAAAACATTTTGCCTAACTATAGTATCAAAGCGATCGTGATCTCCAATAAATGATATTCATTCGAGATTTGGAAAGAGGTAAGCTAAAAAAAGCTTGATTTATAAAAAGAGTTCAAGTTCATATTTTGAAAATTAATTTACATGAAGCATGAAGACACACAAGAGAAGATGATTGTGAGACTTTCATTATAGATGAAGTCAAGAATGTCTAGCGTGAAGATTGATGACTGATGAAATTTGAGTCAAGATGAATATTGTTGAAAAAATGACTCAAATCTCACAAGTGATTTGTTTGGGATTGACCAAATATTGCTTGATAGATAAAAAAATTTACAGAAAAAAAATTCTAAGAGAAAATGGATTCTTGATAGAAGAATTATAAGAGGAAAGTGATTTTTAATAGACAAATTTATATGCTTATAAGTGGTAAAGTCTTAATAGGATTAGTCATAAAAAAAATAAAAAAGTTGTAGGGTTTTATAGGATAGACACTCTATGACTATTGAAGATTTACATCTTATGAATATTTATGTTTGAATGTTTGTGAATAGACCAAAGCAAACTGAGAGGGTTAGCAAGATATGATGCATGAGTGCACATTTTAGACACCCCAATTTGTCTGAAGGTATACTAGATTTGGATTTTATTAATAAAAAATAAAAAATAGAAAAAAAAAAGAAAATAGGTGGTTAAGTTTAAGTTCGGGTTGAATTTGGGATTTCTATCTAAATTAGGGTTTTTTGGATTAGAATCCTATAAATATAGGCCCTAATTGAGGAAGTAGAAGACACAGAAATAGAGTTTAAAAAAATCACATGCAAAAAAAGTCAAAATTTTGTGGAAAATTTTTAGGGAAAAAAATAAGGTTTTTTCTGAAAATATTTCTAGAAATTTTTAGTTTTCGATGAATTTTTCAATGCTGTTGAATTTTTTGATGAGTTTTTTAGTGTCGGTTGAATTTTCTAACAAGTTTTCCAAAATTCGGTTGAAAATTTTGATGAAGGTTAAATTTTTTGGAGAACTTTCGACGAATCAACCCATATTTCGATGAGATTTTTCAGAATCCGACAAAGATTCAATTAGAGTTCATCCGATTCTAGAGAGAGATGAAGAGGAAAGAAGAAAAGAGAGAAAGAAAGAAAGGGAGATTTAAAGTAAAAAGCTAAAACTTGGCATTTTATACCTACTCCAAAACGATGTTGTTTTTGCCTTAAATGGTCCCATGATTCACATGTTTTTATTCAGACCAACCCGACCCCAATGCAATCCACTTCTATCAACCTGCATTCCAGTCAGTTCCTGCAGCTAAGCCGAGTTAAGTTGAGCCTCTGAACTGAGTCATTGAGCCACTTTTTGTATCTGAAGCTGAGCCACGTTGAGTCATTCTAGCCGAGCCCTTTCTATTTGTTTTGGTATTTTTTTAATTAGTTTTTATTTATGTGTTTGTTTATTTTTAAGGTTTTTTTTTTGCATGATTAAATTTAGAAAAAGAATAAAAAATTAAAAATAAAATACTTTTTGAGAATAAATAATAATTATCCAATGATGAAATTTTTAGAAATTTCAAATGGTAAATTTTTATAAAATGTCTAGGTGAGAAATTTTCTCTAAATTTATCCTAAATGGTGAAATGATTTAGATACATTTCAATAACAATAATTAATATTTATTTTCAAACAAAAAAAGAAAAAAAATTGATTGAAAATATTTGACAATCATCCAATAATGAGAATCTTAGAAAATTCAAATAGTAAATTTCTTAAGAAAATCTCTGGGTAAGAAATTTCTCAAAATTTGGCCCAAATGGTGAAAGAATTTAAATGAAATTTCAAGAAAGATAATTATCATTATATTTTCTTGCTAAAGATAAACAAATTAAAAGGAATAGGCCTAAATGGTGAAGAATTTAAAAATTTAAAAGAGAAAATATTTCTAATTTGACACAAATGGTGGAATAATTAAATGTATTTTTAATAAAAAAAATTAAATATATTTTTTTTATGACGGAGCCTCTTCAAGAAAATAAATGGGATTCTTGAATACTCTTGAGGTGAGAAAATATTTTTAAGAATTCTATCAGATTGATGGAAGAATCTTATGGATTATTTCTAATATTTAACATAAAAATTTAAAACCATTAGAATCAATACCCTAATATAAATTTAAAATAAAATGGTATCATCCTTTGGATGGGCATGTGAGGGTACTATAACATTTCCTACATGTAACCGAACTCTCAAACTATGTTTTAGTTAGTAGACCTAAACTTATTCTTTTATGGACCTTTTGTCAAGTTTAGGAGCTCCTTAAGAGGATAGATTTTTTAGGTGGCTAATCACACATAGTAAAAAAGATTAGTGACAACTTCATTTATTATGTTTAGCAATAGATTTACGGGTATGTATGTTATGATAGTTTGGTGACTCCACTGGAGACTCTATAGAGAGTCAGGCCATAACAATTTTAAGTTTACCTTATCCTTTGGTTTAATGGTTTTAAAATGTAATGATTATATTATTTGTTTACTAACATTTTTTTCTTTTTTTGTCTCTTATTTTATTTATGGAGTTTGAAAACCTATATGTTCCTTCACATACACTATCATATGTATTTACATTACATGAGTTATATACCCAAGCTTCGTCCCTCTTAGGAGGGAGTAAAATATCTACGCTCTCATGAGATGATAATCTCCGCAATGGCTAATGAAATATTTGCACTCAAATTGAATCCTTTTCGTTGGTAGCCTATGATGGATGAAGATTAGACTGTCTTACTAGTCTGTGATGGACAATGATGTAAGGAATAATTTGAGAATCTTTAGTGGTCAAAGTCACTTAACCCAGTATATAATTTACACTTAAGAGGTCAACCTTAAGATAGACTCATTCATACCCAGTGATAAATATACCCCAAAACTAAGATATAAGAAGAAACAATTTATGTGATATATTACTTATCTAACCTTTTTTTTTTTAACTTTGTGCATTTGCATTTACATGTCATGCATCATTTTCATTGTCATATATAACATTATATATCTATATCATTTTCATATTAGATTTCATCCATGAAAATGTACATTTCATTCATGTATCAACATATCACGCATAAAGTATAACATTTTTTTATCATAATTATGGTATTCAAAGTTCAAGGATAGCTCTACCAACCAAGAATCCTACACATTTGACTCACTAATATAATACAAGGGCTCGAGCCAAATAAATGAAACAAAAAAATTTTAACCATCTCGAGAGGATAGAGAAAGCTCAAAAGAAGCTTAAAGGAGAGTTGAATAGGATTCTAAAGGCTTTAATTAAATTAAATAAAGGAAAGGGAATAGAAAAAAATACTCGGTAGCAGGACTATCCATCACAATAGGTGATTAACCCTCTATACTCTCCTGGTTTTGAGCTTTATCAAGCCTAGTCCACTCAAGATCTACCACCACAGCAGTTTACCTATCCTGTAGGATACACATATCCTGAAATGTCATCAGTTTCAAACACAAAATAATATCAAAATTATGTAAATCATGTCTTTACTAAGAAAAAAATAGAACCAGTACCAATCCCCTACTTAAATGATCCAAAAAAAAAAAAGAGAACTAAGACTTAAGGAGAAAAAGACTTTATAAGCCTCAAAAGTTGAACAAAAGATGAACCTATTAAAGAAAAGGTTGAGAGTAATAGAGGGAATTGATTTTTATGATTTTGTAGATGCCGCTGGGTCTGTTTAGTCCTGGATGTGATTATTCCTTCAAAGTTCAAGGTTTTAGAGTTTAAAAAATATGATGGTATAAAATGTCTAAAGACCCACATCACCATATATTACCGAAAAATGATTACCTATGCTAATAATAAAAAACTGTTAATACACGTTTTTCATGATAACCTTTGAGTTCTATTGTTAGATAGTATGTCCAGCTAGACAGGACCCGTATTCAATCTTAGAGTGACATGACCCATGACTTTATTAGTTAATATCGAGATATCATAGACTTAGCCCATGATCACCTGTCTTTGTAAAATATGAAAAAAAATGTCTATTCACCTGTCTATTGTTAGGTAGTATGTCCAGCTAGACAGGACCTGTATTCAGTCTTAGAGTGACATGACCCATGACTTTATTAGTTAATATCGAGATATCATAGACTTAGCCCATGATC